GGCTGGCGACCCCCAGGGGGAGAGCCTTCTCTGTGGCAGCTCCTGCCCTCTGGAATGACCTACCCCCCGACCTACGTACAGTTGCGGACCTGCGCCTTTTTCGCCGAGCCCTGAAGGCCCATCTATTCCGTGCGGCCGACCTGGCGTAGTTTGATTATGTTTTAGTGGGGGTTTTTGTATGGGTGTGTTTTTAGAACAGGCCCGTTATTTAATTTGATTTTAGAACTGCCTATATTTATCATGGTTTTTATTATCGCCTGTTCACCACCCTGAGTCCCGTAAGGGAGATAGGGCGGTATATAAATTCAATAAATAAATAAATAAAAAATAAATTCTTTCATTTTAATCTTTTTTTAAAAAATTACCCACCTCCTTTAGCCAGGCTGCATTTTTATTTACTTTTGAGTTGTCCCATATTTGCTCTCAGAAATGTGCTTTGTCAGGCAATTATAAAAGGCTTCTTGGTGGGAATCACAGATCTTTAGATCACTCTCCCTTGGAAAATATTTCTGGTTCCCTCACTGGTAGCATATAAACAAGGATTTTAGATTTTGTTGATAATTTCATATTGACTTCTTTTTTCTTGATATTTTATAATTGCTTTTAAAGGTTATTAAGGCTATGTAATAAGCATCAGTTCTAAAAGATGGGATATAAGGCCATAAATAAATCTCTGGCTGTACCAGTTTTATTTATGCCAATTTCATCATTATTTATGCCTGTTCACTCAGGTCCAGCTAACAAAACAAATCACCGAGACAGCCCAACTCTGTGAACAATCCTTGTTCATCTTTGATGAAGCAGAGAGGTTTCACCCTGATATCCTCAAGGTCCTCAAACCATATGTGGGTCACAGTTGCAACACTGACAAGGTTCATTACCGGCGGTCCATCTTCATTTTCCTGAGGTAAATTTTGTTTTGAGTGTAAGAAACAAATCCTAAGTCATATATTCTGGGGACTTTTCAGAATATTAAAAGACCTTTGCTTTTAATACTGACAGTCGTCCAGGGTAAAAAAAAAAAGAGGTAGAAAAATCTAGAAACATATCAAGACTTCCACAAGTTTATTCAAAAGTTCTTCCTAAAAAAACTTTCTTGCCACTTCCATCAACAGATCCTGAGTTGCACTTTCATTTGGTCTAGCTCAGACATGTCAAACACAAGGCCCGCAGGGCAGATCCGGCCCGCAAAGTGGTTTCATGTCGCCCACAAAGCCATCCTGGAAACAGTGAGGGAAAGGCCCCCGCTGCCTTGGCCCCGGCCCAGGCTGGCCGGGAGCCAATGTACAATTTCGTGGTGGCCATCTATGCTGAAATGCATTCAGTCTTAGCTCCACAAGGCTGTCTGGAAACAGCGAGGGACTGCCCCCTGTCGCATCGGCCCCACTCCCTGGGCGCGTGCTGGGGAGGTGTCACCCTTCATAAGGAATGAAGAAATGCACCATTGCCTGGAAGTGGCCAACAAATGGCCCTCGCCTACTTCACATATCCGGCTTGGTGGGCTCCGGGGGAGGGGATGCCACGAGCAGTGTGAGTCGATGTTACCTGCACAATGCCGCCCAGCCCCCAGCCTACCCAGTTTTGGCAGGCAGCGGGGCGCTCTCCTTACAGTGCCAAGAGCTGAGCCAGGTGGCGCGAATCTGATGAGAAGCACAATGCCGCTGTGAGGAGAGCGCGGCGCTGCCTGCCGAAATTGGGCAGGCTGGGGGCTGGGCGGCTTTGTGCAGGTAATGTCGAGTCTCCTGCTGCTCACGATGTCCCCTCCCCCAGAGCCCACCAAGCCAGATATGTGAAGTAGGCGAGGGCCATTTTCTGGCCACTTCCAGGCAAAGGTGCATTTCTTCATTCCTCACCAAGGGTGACACCTCCCCAGCTGCATTTCTTGCCTGTTTTTCTCCCTTCCTCATCTCAAATATTTTTCCACCACTCTGTTCTTAAGGAAAGAAGGAAGGAAAGGAACGAAGGAAGGAAGGAACGAAGGAAGGAAAGGGAGGGAGGGTCTGGGGGAAGTCCTGCCCTGCTGCCCTTTCACCATCCCCTCCTGGCCTATCCTGGGGGTCTCCTATCCTATTGCTAAGGATGCTTTGGATACAAAGACGGGCCTCTCACATGGAGAGGGAATGGGCCTCCCTCTGACTTTGCCCTCATACCCATCATGAGCATCCTGGCTAAGGAGAGCAAGCACAGCAGCAGCAGCCTTGAGATAAGCACAGCTGGGCGCCCCCTTGGGGAAGTGGGGCTGGGCTTGGTGCCACAGGAGCTCGTGGGCTGACCTGAGCGTTTGACCTCTGCTGCCCAGGGCTCTGGGCAGCCAGCACCACCGTCCAGTCCCCCCGCATGGCCGCAGAGGGACAGTGAGGTTCCTCCAGTGGACCATGCCTTGGTGCTTGCCCTGGTCCCACCCCCCTCTGCCGGAGACCCTCGGATCTGCCCTACTCCTACCCAGGACCCCACAGGCACCCTTGACACAAGCGATGTAGAGCTGGCCGTGCCCACCCAGTAGTCCACACCCACCCCAGCCACGCCCATCCAGTAGGCTGCACCCCCCCCCGCCCCGCCCCCCCACCCCCCCCCCCCGAGGGCAACCACAATGCTGATGCGGCCCTCAATGAAATTGAGTTTGACACCCCTGGTCTAGCTTAAAAGCTGAACTTTGCAAAAGCAGTAAGATTTATTTCTGTCCTTTTACAAATTCTGTATAGTGCAAGTACAGAAACATACAGGAGAGGTTCATTTTGTTCTCTGACTCTACTGTCTACAATGTTGCTGATATTCAAGGATTCCCTTTAGAGAGGGAAGACTCGTGTACTTAAGAATACCTCTGTCTCTAATCAGCTCCCCCTGATACAATAAATAACATTTACTATAAAATATTCATGGGATCTGGGCACTAGGAATGAAATTCAGGAAAAAAATTGTACTACGCTCAAAATTGCTTCTTTCCAATTAGATTTGAATATATCGATTTAAATCTAATTTGTAGGTGGCTGAATTTATTGGGGCTAAGCAGGGTCAGCCATGGTTAAGAACATGCTTGGGAAACTATCAGGACTGTAGGTCAGATTGAGAAGTCAAAAAAATGTCCAGGAGAAAGCATTGGCAAACCATTTCCATACTACAGTGAAGAAAACTGCATGATTGTGATCAGGTAGTCAACAGTAGTTTTATTAAGCAAAAGGATATATTTACCTTTGCCTTACATCCAAAAAGAAGCTTTGAACATTAATTAAAATCTCACCTACCTTTATTAAAAGCTGGCTTGCTGATAACAATAATTGAGTTTGAAAAGCAAATACAGTGGTACCTGGGTACTCATCATTAATTAGTTCTAGGAAGCGCAATGAGTACCAAAAATGATGAGTACCAGATTTTTCCCATAAGGAATAACATTGACAAATTCTAGCTTGTGCTTTAAGAACCTGATGAGAACTGGGGCAAAATTTTCACATCAAAATGCCTTGAGTACCAAATTTGATAAGTTTCAAAGCAGATGAGTACCAAATTACCACTGTAAGTCAGTTTTTGCTACCTATATTTTTTTGCACTGGACCTTTGAAACTAGTAAGATTTGTGCCAATTTCTTTTTTCTCATTAACTAGGAGCAAAATTTACCTAAAGGCCAACTGCTTTTTCCTAAGAGGCTGGGGATTTACCAAAGTAAACTAAATCCCTCACTGAAGATCATCTTTAGAGGGAAGACAGCAAACATGAATGCTATTAATGCATTAGATGTCTTAAAACGAGTGCTTCTTTTCTCACTCTATCTATTCCACAATAATAATAATAATAATAATAATAATAATAATAATAATAATAATAATAATAATAATAATAATAATAATAATAATAATACCACCACTTGAACACCATTGGCATTGACAAATTCGCTATTAGTCAATTGCAAAAGGCGGTCTTACTAGGAACTGCTTCTATCCTGCGACGATATCTGTAATACCATCAAACATCCACATCTGCCTATCCCGGGTCCTGGGTAAGGACTTGATAGGTAGACAAAATGCCAAATCCAGTCTGAACATTTGACTGACTGTGCGATGATCCATAATAATAATAATAATAATAATAATAATAATAATAATAATAATAATATCATTATCATCATCATCATCATCCCCCAAAAGAGTGGGAGAAAAAAGAAATGGGTAAAGAAGTCATGTTCCACGTCTTTATCTCATTGCAGGAAACAGGAGGTTAAAATGTACATATGATTGCAGAAAGATTTTCTGTCCTTAACATTCCACCATAAGCCATTCTGGGAAATACAAGTGAATTCAAGCTGATTTTAGTGTATCAGCAGAAATGAGAAACTTTCACCCTCGGGACTTTCTTGTACAATGACTAACAACGTTACCCTGTGATACTATTGTGAATACCGGACAAGATAGCTTATGCATTAAGGTTATATTTTGCTGCAACTGCTAAATTCTATTGGTCAATGAGATACAGATAGTCCTCAGCTTAGGACCACAATTGAGCTAAACATTTCCATTGCTAAACAAGACAGTTAAGTGAGTATTGCTCCATTTTACAACCTTTCTTGCCACAATTAAGTGAATCACTGCAGTTGTTAAGTTAGTAACACAATTGTTAAGTGAATCTGGCTTCCCCATTGACTTTGTTTGTCAGAAGATCGCCAAAGGTGATCACATGATGCCAGGACACTGCAACCCATCAAAAATACACGCCAGTTGTCAAGTGTCCAAATTTAGATCCCGTGGGGGATGCTGCAGTGGTTATAAGTGTGAAAAATGGTCATAAGTCACTTTTTTTTCAATGTTGTTCTAACTTTGAACGATCACTAAACCAATGGTTGTAAGTTGAGGACTACCTGTAATATTCTTTTTTTGTACTCAGCAACACTGGTGGCAACATCATCAATAAGGTGGCCCTGGATTCCTGGCAAGCTGGTCAAGCTAGAGAGGAGATCACCCTGGAACATTTAGAACAAGTTCTGCGAAGAGAGCTGCTGGATGCCCCAGGTGAGTTGCTGCTTGTTCCTAAGGCTTTACCACCACTGCAGTTCTAACTTCGGTAGTAATGCATTTTTTTGTCTTTTGCAAGATATTGATTGAGGGCAAGTGTGAAGTTACATTTACAAATAATATCAGTGCTTTAAAAAAATATTAATTTTCACCATTCTAATGGGATGGATAATAGGCCAAAAGCCATAATTGGAAGGATCTGTTAAATATACTGTGGCAAGCCAATAGGTTTTATTTTTCCTCAAATGTATGAAATTTCCCTTCTCATCTGCAGATTAATAGGCACTCACAAAAGATACTAAGGCATGTTAGTCTAAAAGAAAATATTACAGCATTTTAATATGTTTTGTGACATAAGCTTTTTTTGAACTAGGTATCTATTCATCTACTCTGACAAATGTAAACAGAGATATTAGTGGGAAAGAGACCTAAATCTTGAGTTTAGAGCAGGGGTAGGCAACCTTGGCTCTTTTATGATCCGTGGACTTCAATTCCCAGAATTCCTGAGCCAGCTATGCTGGCTCAGGAATTCTGAGAGTTGAAGTCCACGAGTCATAAAAGAGCCAAGGTTGCCTACCCCTGGTTTAGAGGGAAATGAAATGCAGTAACATTAAAATTAACCGTCTACAAACACGTGGGATCTGTTGAATCTAGTGATACCTTCCTTGTAGCTTGGTAAATGAATAGGCCCCTTTTTCATGCCTTAGCTTAGCTGAATCAAAGGAGAAAGTGGGTTTTTATCAACAGGTACAGATGACCAGTGGAGCAGTTTTTTGTCTCTAGCTAGCCAGGTTTTCCAAACTGAGATGAGAGAAGAAGATTAACACTCTCAACTAGCTGTAGGAATGGGATGAAGTCCCAAAATATCCCAGGAAACAGGAGTTTCCTAGATACTCCATTTCCATTTCCTTTTCTTTGTGTGTTTTACTCTGCAGGATAAGAGGCATAAAATAGAAAGAGGCGGAGTAAGACTCATCCCTAAATTCTACTGCAATGGCTCCAATCTTGGTAAAGCTGCTAGAAAGTTTTCAATTTGCTTTTGTCCAGTTGAGAGGGTAGGAGGAGGGACAGGAACAATAACTTTTCAAAGAATTGAGAGGATTCTCAAAATCTCTCTTTTTTAAAGAATGGCTATATTGCTCAGCTGTGTCATATGAACACAGCCATTTAGTTCTAAAATCTTGTAACTGCTGCTACTTTCATTTCCGTCTAGCCTCCCTTTACTCTTTATACAGTAATTGCTGTTCAAAATAACATTTATTTCCATTGGATGAATTGGATAAATTCACAACTGTATTGTCATAATTTTGTTTGCTTCAACATGAATGAAAATATAAATATACAAATATGATAAAACTGCATACAAATAAAATTGATAAAATTGTCATTTTTATCTCTGTCATTGTCTAGGGGTTATCATCTTTGGTTTCTATGATATTTATTCATATGGATTTTTATATTTTATATCTGATTTTTTACATTGCTGTTTTATCTCGTTGGGTAATGCCCAAAGTTGCTTTTGGTGAGATGAGCGGCTATATAAATTTGATAAATAAATGATTGTGTTCTTTGTTGTATTATTATATAAAGCTGCTCTAAACCTACAGCAAAATCAACTGCATTTGCCAAAATAATCCTTTGTGGCCACTACTTTGCTTCCTCTTCCTCTTCATCAAATTGTCTTTTCCTGCTGTATTTCAATTGCAAATGTATGGGAACAAAGATAGCCAGGGAAATGATTGAAGCCTGGGAAATGGGCCCCTTGTCAGACAACAGGCATGCTGATTTACCACCAGCTTATCAGGTATTTAGGACTTGGTAGCCCAAGGAAAAAACAGCCATCAACATACCAATCAACCAATAGAAAGGCGCCACATAAATACGATGTATAGAAGGAACCCAAAACACACCTTCCAGTAGAGAAAATTTCCCTGAGGATGTGCTCCAGCATTGTCTGAAAGTTCAAAAGACTAAATCTCTGGTCCTGGTGACTGATCCAGATTGGATCTTGCAACATTATCCTAGGACATGTATATTTGCCTTCATTCATGAGAAATATGGGCAGCTAGTGCTTCAAACAGTTTGGCTTTGGGAATCTTTCTCAGCACGCGAGGCTTCCACTTATGAACAACTATACTTCCTAAACCGATGCACTCGGGAAGGGGTCATTCCACACAGCCTACAATACTGACCACCAGTCAACTCGAAGATGAGCAGACCTATGGCAAAAGCATTCAGCAAACGTATGTTAGAGGTATTAATACATGACTGCCATCTAAGATGGGGCAAGTATAAAGCATCTATCAATATACATAAGGGGCATTGTCTATCACAAGAATTAGTCACTGACCTAGAAAATGTTATTATGGCCCTTGTAAAAGAAAAACGGGAGAAAAAGGAAACAGTTGGAAGATAATGATGAGAGGTTTAACACATGAGACGCCTCACCAACAGAATTTATAGCAGCATTAGAGTCCATGTTCAACAGAGTAGAGATAGAACAGCCAGAAAAACATGCCATGTATTGTCAGTGCTGGTTGCACACAAACCAAACAATACACTCAGCCCAACAGAGCAACACATCTTGAAAGACCTGAAACAAGATCAGGACATTATTTTATCAGCAGATAAGGGCTGGTCAACAGTGGTAATGAACTGCACAGATTATGTGACACGGCGAGTTTGACACGCATGCATGAATGACATGTTTGTCATCATCAAAAGAAATGCACTGAAAGAGTTTTATACCTTACTGAACTCCATCTTCTCAGACATACAATTCATAATGGAGGAAGAAACAGCTAAACAATTACCATTTTTAGATGTGCTTGTCAACAGACAGGAAGATGGAAACCTAGAAACCATGGTTTATTGCAAGGCCACCAACAGTCCACTCATTCTTAGTTTCAACAGTAACCATCCAGTGTCACACAAAAAGAATTGCTATAGAACCCACTGTAGTACCCAGCAAGCTAAAGAACTGAAGAGAAGGTACCTATGTGAAAAATTCAGGCAGAAGGGGAACCTTCCCATAAGCATTTATTACAGGATGCCTGTGCAACATGTAAGGAAGAGAAATGAAGAAAGAGGGTATAAGATCAACCATATGGCACACCCTGCCATGCATCAAAAACATTTCGGAAGCAGTAGAACTCAGCTTCCGAGGTCTCCAAGTGGGCATCGCACACCGCCCAGAGACTACCATATGAGGACCAATCATGCATTGCAAAGATTGCTTGGAAGTGAGAGGTACTTCTGATGTAATCTACAGATCCCCTGCATGGATTGCCCCAGTGACTATGTAGGACAGACGGGGAGGAAGCTAACCATAAGATTGCAAGGACACAAGCGAGTGGTCAGACGAGGAGACCCAAACTCATTGGTAGCCTCACATTGAACAAGGACATACATTGTTTTGGAGCTATTAAGATTGTTGGCCATGCAAGTACAAAGATAGCCAGGGAAATGATTGAAGCCTGGGAAACAAGCCTCCTGTCAGTCAAGAGGAATGCTGATTTACCATTAGCTTATCAGGTACTTAGGAGCCAAGGACTTGGCAGCACAAGGAAAAAAAACAGCCAATCCCCTGCCATCAACACACTAATCAACTAATAGGAAGGCACCACATAAATATGATGCATAAAATAACCCAAAGCACATATTCTGATAGAGAAAGGTTCTCTGAGGCTGGGCTCCAGCACAAGTCCAAAAGCTCAGAACACTAAACTTCTGGTCCTGGTGACTGATCCAGATTAGATCTTGCAATATAGATTTTTCACTGTTACTGATATTGTCTTAAAATAGGCCATGTGTGCCAAAGGTACTATAAAAATAAACTATTTTTGCCTCCCCAGTAATGCCAAGTAACTAATTACTGTCTACCCTGGTCAATAACTAAGACGCAGGAGATACCAGATGACTTATATCTTTTTTCCCCCCCAGATGCCGACAACTGCCTTCTTCAGGAGAACCTCATAGACTTTCTGGTACCTTTCCTACCTTTGGAATATCACCATGTGAAGCTCTGTGCTCGGGATGCTTTTCTTGCTCGAGATCTACAGTTCACTGAAGAGATGCTAGATGAGGTTGCAAGGACGATATTCACTCCCAAGAAATTATTTTCTGCTCAAGGTTGCAAATCAATATCTCAGCGTATAAACTACTTTCTTCTTTGACAGGGGAAGGTAAAGAAGATTGCAATTGAGTTTATTTTTTTTTATCTTATACAAGGGACACATACTTTATTTATTACACTAACTAGTGTAATTTTACCTACGTTCCTCATATTATTGGGGTTGCCCAGCTAAAAAGGTAAGAAAACTCCATTATGGATATGGAATCTACATGAATGATATTACTGAAAATAGTAATATATCCAGAGTATTTTTTGAATACTGGTAACAAATGATGCCTTTGGGTTACATATTGTTATCCATTATATTGAGTGGGTTTTTAGACAACCTGGGTAGAAGACCCCCATCTACAAGATGTGAGACGGACTTAATTTTATTCCCAGGTCTTAGTTGACAATGATTTGAATCAAGTAACTTCCTAGTCTGCATTCTTAGCGTATGGCTGGGTGAGGAGCTATCATATTCACTTGCAATGCAATCTACCTCTTCTTCCACAATCCTTGTGTCAAAATAAGGTATGAAGGAAAAGATTTTGTCCCTTATTAGAGGCCTGGTGTCAATCTTTGTTTTATATATATTTAGTATAAATTTTTAAATATAATTACAGGTGCTAAAATTACACTTTTCATAGTATATATATCAAGACCAAATATGTGCCATTCTTTGTATTATAACTTTTATAACAGGACAATGTACTTCTAGCCCAGCACTGAAATTGAGCAATGAGGTTCCAGTTCCATGTGATAAGCACTCTTTGCATAAGCCATTATTTGCTGGTATTGCACTTCTGTTGTCTTTGTAACTTGAAATGTTGGATGGAATGTTGCTTTGGCATTGGCATTCACAGCAGGACACTTACTTTGTCAGAGTGAATATAACACAGATTTAGCTGGCCAGATATACTCGGTTTGTAAGAGCTATGTATGTACACAGTCTGACTGAACACAAATTTAAGTTTCGAAAAATACACAAACCTTGTGCAAAACTGAGCCATATGTGGATGACCAAGTGACTTTGAGGCAACATAGGTGTCCCCAGAATCTGATCCTATACTACAATCCCAATTTAGAGGAAGAAATTTTAGATTATAGATTTTAGGGCAAATAATAGAAATTGGATCTCTTGTTCTCACATTTTAGGAACAATGTTTCACAATTGTAAAATATAGGAGCTCTCAGGCACATTTGCCATTATAGTAAGTACATGTCCTGTGCCTGACCTTTCCATTACCATTATCTCCACTTAAATAAGTGATCTGTTCCTGAATTTTTCTGTATCACTGTTTTCTTCCCAAAAATGCTACCAGCAAGAAGCCGAGATCTGTCATTTTAATTAACCAATTTTCAGCTGCTGCCTGAAACTGACAAAGTCTTTAGTCACTTTCACACATTTGGCTTTTGTTGGGAGCTCAAAGCTATGAGTAAGCTAGGCAAAAAGCTGTAGCCAGTGTGCTTCTTTCAATGTGTATTTCTCATTGTGTGCCTGCTTATTCTCTTGTAATCCCTTCCTCTCCAATAAATGTAAATACAAACATTAATTCCCTTCTTGCTAATTATCCCAGCCTCAGGGTGAGCATTCCAAAAGGGAAAATGAAGAACAGTCATGAGCACAGTCAGAATCATTTAGTGACTGAGATGACAATCCCAATTATGGTGTCTAAACAAGGATTACCTATAGTCCAAAATAGGGAATAATCTAGTATCTGCAGATAGCCAAGCAGTTGTCCATATGTGGGTCAGGCAGTCATGCCCCATTTCTTCTCCTATACATCCTGTGAATGCAAGCATATAGACCTAAACCTTCTATTTAATTTTCAGAGTGGCTTGTTACAAAAGCTGTGCAGAGCATCGTGCCTAACGAAAAAGGTATTACACAAATTCTGTTGACATTTTGTTTGCTAGCCAAATGTCAGCAAGATTGTATTTATTGTCTAGGTTAGCTTGCTAAATGATATAACATTTGTAACCTGTGACTGGAGGTGAAGTGAGAGAGAGAAGATACACAGTGCAGAACAAAATGTGCCTAGCTATTCTAGAAATATGAACCTGTCTTGTGTTAGCAGCTTCAGCAGAGCCATTCCCATTTCTGTATAACATTTCAGCGTCTGAATGTGTGCCGGTAAATTGTAGATGATTTCCACAGAAAACTACTGTGAGTTGGTTCTTGAATTCTGACCTAACAAATCATTTGTGACAGCTTTCACATGTTCAAGTCATCATACATGAAATGCCAAACCAGTTCCTTTTTTTAATCTTTTAGGTATATAACTACATGTTTTTCTTTGAATTTCATTATTCACTCAATCACTATGGCCTAAAAGAAAGTCCTGAAATTTAGTTGCCAATAAAATATTGCAATTTTTATTTAAAACAAAATGCAAATTGGCAAAAATCTCTGGAACAGGCAGAGGCAATGCCTCCAAGGGCCGTACTTACATCAAGTTAACACTGTTTGCAGTTCACAGTCAGAAAATAGTGAAAATTTAAATTAGAAAAAAACCAAATATATTACAAACAACAATAAAAAACAAAATAACATTTGACAACACTAGTAGTGTGGGTTTTTCTGTGTGAGTCGCACATTTCAGTTTCACCCATTTTAATCCTCAGTGAATTCAACTAATGAAGTGCTGGGTTGATTAAAATCCTTAACCATCCATCCCCCCCCCAACCCTGCCCTCTGGAAATCTACCCCTTACACATCACACAACATTGGCCATTTTTGCCCTAGGCAATTTCAGGGAAATGAGACATTCCTAATATGCCACCTTTCTGGATTAGAAGCCACATTTTCACATCATGAATTATACTTGAACTAGTTGTGCACAGCAATTCTTAATACAGTACTGTGAATGGTAAATGGAAAGTGGTGTCTGATCATGCTCATTGCTTTAGTCATTTGAGCATTTCCTAAGTCTGTATTTTAAAACAAACATGCCATCCATGAAGAAGCAGAAAAGGGGGTTAGCTAGTAGCCTATTTGCATAAAAGAAAAGTTAGATGTATCCAAGATAATTTTTAACATAGGGGCTCATCATATATCAATAGGAGACTTAGCATAGAGTAAGAGAGAAAGGTTACCGGTACTTCTTTTTAATCTTTTGTGGAGAGGGGTCATCTGAAATTAAGGCTCACTTCAATCAATAAAAGCCTTTCCTAGATTGCACTGAGATAAGGGGAAAGGAGTTGCACTTCCATTCAGGTCAAAAGTAGAGGCAAAGAAATAAAGCATACCACAAAGGCTAGGTTCATCCGTTTTTCTAAAATACAAGTTTTGTAAATTGATGGCAACTTTTAAACAATACTTTTACTCTGAAGTAATACAAAGATTCGACAAGCTTTAATATTTAATTTTAAAGCCTGGTAAGAAATGTATCTTCTTAATTTAGCAATATTTTTTTCACATTAGAAACCCTTGTTTTTGGCAAAAAAAAAAAAAAAGAATTTTGAACAAGGATTTGAGGGCATTATTTAGCCAGCTTCAAAGACTATGACCAAACAATAACCTGTTTTTACTGTTTTCCATGTTTAGTGTTTTGATGATATATACTAAAGAAAATAGAAATCTTAGACTTCACATCTTAAGAAATAGGCCATCAATAGAGTATGGTGTCATAATATGTTATTAAGCAGAACCCCCTCCTTAGAGAATGAATGCTTTATCTTCAATCCTGCTTTAAGACCAGAGAATCAAGGAAAATGTTGCTGAAAGCCCTAATTCTAAATGCAGAGCAGGTAACCTACTATCCTTTTGGTTATTGACCCCTTAAAAACTGTCATGCGAAATTTCAGCAGCAAACCACTAAAAAAAAGAGCAATGAGAAAATCAAACAATAAAAATCTGTAGGTTTATATTTTTGTAAGAAAAAACCCTGCATGAGCCAACTACCATAGTAATTCTACCTCTAACAGCTTACAAATTGTTCCTGCAGCATCATTCCATTACAGGAGCCCTTGGCTACTCCAAAATTAGAACCATTTGAATTTTTGGGCACCTCATATCCTTGCCTTAATGGAAAGATAATTTTTCACTATTTTGCAAATCCATGGGCTCAGAATATTCCTATTTGCCCAAGACCTCCCACGGATTCTACTTTGAGATGAATTTACTGGAGAAGCCTGATAATTTCGTATAACTTTTGTACTATATTTTGAACTAGCTGGAGTTTGCCAATCAATCTTCAGTGCTACAAATATTTTTTTAATAAAAGCATGATAGTACAGCATACTCCTCTAGAATTTCTGCCATTAGGAGCGCAGCAATATTATTTATGAATGAATTGTATGTAATACCAAAAAGCTTTTTCACATTATGCAAGAGGACTGATTCATTCCTTACAGTTCCAAGGCAATCCGGGAACATTTTGAATTTAGTAAGGAACCAATCCACGTATAGAACGTACACTATTCCACCAGCTAAAACCAAAGTTTTCTCATAAGATTCCATTAACTATTAACATCATCCCTTTGCCCCCAGTATACTGTAAAGGTGCAAATGAGCAGAGAATGCATTCCTGTCATGTTTAGCCAGAAAGAAAACTATAGCAACTATTCTAGATTTACAGTGAGTTCCTTTCTGAACAAGCACCACTCAGTTTCAAGAACAGCATACATATAAGAAGACATTGGGCACGATTTATAAAATAATAAAGGCAAAGTTTAAGCATTATTGTCTGGGGAAAAATTACGGCATTTTTGAACAGAAGATAATATCTTCCTACCGTTATCAAGGAAGGTCAAAGTGATAATCTGAAACTCATGCAAAAACACAAAAAATTCTCTGCACTTTTTTATAGCTTTGGGGCAATAGCTTTAAAGCTTTCAATGCCTAGTAGTTGTTATTATTCAGAGTCCACTAATGAACCCCGAGGGAAAAAATTGACTTCCTTTCCAGATATAGTAACTTTTGCTCTATATTGAGTGGTATGTGAATTGTCTCTACATTTAATATGCAAAATAATCCAATAATTGTCAGGATTTTGCTTTTAAACTAGGATGAGAAGCTAAAAACAGCGAAAAGTGACTGAGAAGCATCAGAAAAAGGGGACCAGGAAAAAATATTAACAGAAATCTGCCTAGAGAGT